AAAGCAGCACAAACCAGCAGAAACGTAGCACAAACGTTTGATACCACTTTTGTTGGATTTTGGGTAATGTGGGGGGGCTGTTGACCTTTTCATTTTCATTAATATCTTTAAAACAGAAGCAGCACAAACGCTAATTTTACCTGCACAAATCAGCACAAACGTAGCACTAAAAAAGTAGACCATTTTGGTGCGTTTTGGAGCAGTCTGGGGGGATGGTGACCTTTGAATGACCTATAAAATAAATTTTAATATCTCGATACTGTAGCAGCACAAACGCTAATTTTACCTGCACAAATAGCACAAACGTAGCACTAAAAAAGTAGACCATTTTGGTTTGTTTTTGGGAGCAGTCTGGGGGGATGGTGATGTTCATTTCAGAAAAATATCTCTTTAATATCACAGAATAGCAGCACAAACGCTAATTTTACCTGCACAAATCAGCACAAACGTAGCACTAAAAAAGTAGACCATTTTGGCCCGTTTTGGAGCAGTCTGGGGGGATGGTGACCTTTGAATGACCTATAAAATAAAGTTTAATATCTCGGAAACCGTAGCAGCACAAACGCTAATTTTACCTGCACAAATCTGCACAAACGTAGCACTAACCGCTCCGCCTATTTGCCTTTACGTTTCAAGTGGGTGGGGGGTCAGCTTCACTCTGCCTTGTTTTGGCCTATTTTGGGCCATTGTCGTGTTGCTTGGGGGGGGGTGAACTCTGAATGACCTATTAAATAAAAGTGTAATATCTTTGACACCTAGCGATACAAACGATGATTTTACCAGCACAAACCGACAAACGGAGCACTAACCACCCAGTATACTTGATTTTATTTTTGGGGGCAAGTGGGGGTCACGTTCACAGACTGGGCTGCTCCGGTACATAATGGTAAACGTGCTCACAGGAACAGATTTATGAAATGAGTACATTTGAAATTTAACTTGTATTATTAATACATTTTAAAAGAAACAGGATTGTTCTTAAGTTTAGACCATCTCTGTGCTACCCCTTTGCATGTGTCTCACTGTACACGATTAATTTTTTCTGGTTTTCTTTTTCTCTCAGGTTGCTGGTTGTGGAATTTGGAGCTGCGGAGATTTGAGCTGTGCTCCAAAAGTGCATGTTGAAGGTACCTAATGCTTTCATATTATTTACTTTTTCCTTAATACGCAATTTTACATTTTGAATTCTCTTATTTGGTCTTTTAGGTTATGAATGTGGTGTTGTAAGCTTTGCTCTTTAAGTGTATCTAAAAGGTACCAAATTCTAAAACACTTGAGACTTAAACACTCCATTCTTGGTCTGAGACGCTCATATCCGTGCATTTACAGTCATTGTCCTTGTACTTTCAAAACATGGGGTGGTCTTAGGACTCATCTAAGTCGTGCACATGTTGCTAAGCCCTCTCACACTGTAGAACATGTTATTTTGACTTGTCCTTCTTGTCCTGAAAGCCACATATCAACAAGCAGAGAATACTTCCTCCATATTAATAAACATCTCAAGAGGTTGGAGACAGTAGATTGTGTTTATCAAAATTGTTCTTTCAAAACTAATGTGTACGGTACTTTCCAGACACACAAGAGTAGAAAACATTCTTCATGCACGCTAAGAGATTTCAAAAATGAAATAGTGAAAAGAACTGAATTTACAAGTAAGAATGATCTTGCTGAGGAGTCTGCAGATGAAGGGCCCTCTGACTTGGATTGTGAAGCTGGTGTAGTTAGTGAAAATTTGGAGGAAGCTGTAGTTAAAAACCTTGCCTTGATTTTGTTAAAGTTGGAGGTCTTTTCACATGTACCAACATCAGCAATTGACAATTTACTCGAGGGACTACATTTTCTATTCACTACTTCTGCTTTACCCTTAACAAATAGCTTAACTTTGGCCGTTCTCAAGGAGCATAATATTGAGGTTAGTGCATCGCTAGTGAATGAATTGTGCACTGCATTATACACTGGAAATCCACTACTTAGAAGTATTGCAAAAGGAGGATCACTTGAAACAACATTTAAGCGCAAGAAGTTTTACTATGAAAAGTTTAATGTTGTTGAGCCAGAGGAATATGTTCTAGAGGAAAAAACAAAAAAAACCTTTCAATATATTCCACTGCTAAAGTTATTGGAGCAGTTACTTCAACGTGAAGATATTGTTGGAAAGCTAGTTGAAAACTATAAACGGAGTCATTCAAATTCACAACTGCTTACATGTTTTCAGGACGGTGAGAATCAGAAGAACAATATTTTTTTTTCAAGTGAAGAGCTCAGAATTTCATTATGCCTATATATTGATGATTTTGAAGTGTGCAACCCACTAGGAACATCTCGCAAAAAACATAAACTTTGTGCGGTTTATTGGATTCTGGGCAACTTGCCTTCTGGTTGCAACTCTGCCCTTTCTTCAATCTACTTGGCACTGTTGTGTAAAAGTGAATTAATTAAATCTTTTGGTTATGAAAAAGTATTTGAGCCTCTGCTGTGTGATTTAGTCAGACTTGAGAAGCAAGGTTTATTCGTGCCCCTCCTTGGTTCGGTTATCAAGGGTACAGTTCAGTGTGTCGTTGCTGATAATCTGGGGGCCCATGGGCTTGGAGGATTTGTGGAGAATTTTTCAGCTAATTATTTTTGTCGTTTCTGTACAGCCCAGCTTTCTGATATAAATACGTGTGAGGTAAAGACAGGATCATTTGAACGAAGAACAAAGGAAAATCATCGGCTTCATATCAAGACTGCTCAAGAACAAGGTGTGAACTGTTTAGGTGTAAGAAAATCGTGTGTTTTAACGGATAACCTCTCGTATTTTAATGTTGTTACTGGTTACCCTCCCGACATTGTGCACGATTTCTTTGAAGGAATCGTTCCTGTCGAGTTGGCCCAGTGTATTGACCTTCTGTGTCAAAAAAGTATTTTTCTCTCGAACAACTGAACAATCGTATTCGTTCTTTTCCTTACAAGGAAGGAGATAAAACTAATCACCCCACTGTGTTATCAAAAGCTGTAAGTAAGAAGAAGAGACGTTCTCTTGGGGGTAAACGCACATGAAAACTGGTGTCTTATTCGCTTGCTTCCTTTTATCATTGGACCAAATGTCCCTGCTGATGAACCAGCCTGGCTGGTTATTTTAGACTTAAAAGATATTGTCGAGCTTGTAGTAGCTCCTGTTCACAGTCTTCAATCTGTTGCATATTTGGAATGTAAGGTCTCAGAGCACCGAAAGCGTTACCAACAACTATTTCCTAACCAAAAACTGATGCCTAAACACCACTTTATTGAGCACTATGCAGAAATGATCAAATGTTTTGGTCCTCTTGTCTCGTTATGGACGATGAGATTTGAGGCCAAGCATAGTTTCTTCAAACAGGCTGTTCGGAACATCAAAAGCTTCAGAAACATAGCCGGCTCTTTAGCTCGTAAACATCAGTTAATGGTTGCATATAGAATGCTTTGTCCTGATGATGAAAACTCTACAGATGTTACTCGCGTGACAGAAGTGCCATTGGATGTCCTTAAAGACAATGTTGTGAAAAGTATCTCTAACAAACATCCAGACGTGACTGCTGTTAACTTAGCCACTGGCGGTTTTGTAAACAATATTCAGTACAAAAAGGGGATGATTGTTGTGCACGGATCATGTGGTGGGCTACCAGATTTCTGTGAAATTCAACATTTGTGCATTATTAAAAAAGAGACCCTCCTTATTCTGAAAAGACTAAATTCATGGTACATGGAGCACTATAGAGCTTTTCACCTACAAACAACAACAGATGTTGTTGTTGTATCCATGACAGAGCTGGCCGACCCATACCCTCTATGCGACTATGAAGTGGGACACTTGCGGATGGTCACCTTAAAAAGACATATTCACATTGGTAATTGTTTTATTTGCTTTCACTCATTGTTAGGTAAACAAACATTTGTGGCAACAAGTGCAATACAAATAAAAATGTCATGTTCTTTAGACTGTATTGAGTAGTGTTTCATGATCCAGGAATTATCTATGTATGTATTTAGAAATATTGTCTGCTGGACAGTATTTCTTAAAAAAAAAATCCCAATGGATAATCTATGCACTGGTCTTGTTTTTCAGCTTGAAGAATGGCTGCTACTTTGAGGGTGATACTTGGAGTGGACAATTCATCCAAGTTGATGCTTCCTTCTGGAATCCCTGGTTCAGTGGACATTTTAAAAGAGGAAATACAAAGACAGTTTGGATTGACTGAAGATTTCAGGCTTCAATATAGAGATGTTGAGTTTGACAATGAATACATGAATCTAACCACAACTGGGGACATTGAAGACAAGAGTACAATCAAAGTAATTTACACTAATTTAAACTCTGCGCCGTCCACTGTGCCCACCACAGCACCCACAGCTGCCTCCAGAGAGACATTACCACAGTTTGATGCACCATCCTTGCCGGACACTGACATCCTTTCCTCCTCAGACTCCAGTGCTTCCTGTTCATCTCTTCGCTTGCGGAAATGGCCCTTAAACTTTCCAATACCAAAGTTTAGTTTTGATGTGGAGTTTCAGTTACACAGAGCCCAGCAAGAATATGAAAACAATGGGATTCTCTTAGACCCGAGCCCAAAACTCAAATCTGACATATTAGATATGTTGGCCTCAGAAATTGCAAAATACAAAGTTTATCCATCAAGTGGAGATATTGATGATGTCGCTAAAGCGTTAATTCAAAAATATCCCTTTCTCAAAGAGACCGGATCTGTGACGGGATGTGAAGGCTGGAAAGTAAGCCTAAAATAC